TGAGCCCCTCTGGGGACCCCCACAACCCCCCCCAGCCCGCCCCAAAGCATCCCCGGATCCCCCCTCCCTGTTCCCCCCGATCCTCCAAACTTCCCAACCTCCCCCCTTTGTACCCCCGGTGCGGGGGGGTCTCACCTCCAAAACAGCGCAGGGGTTCCCGTCTCTCCTCCGGCCCCTCCAGACCCCCCCCGACCTCTGAACCCCCCCAAAAGCCCCCCCTGAGCCCCCCCTTTTTCTCCTCCAGGGCCGGGGGGAGCGAGCCTACGACATCTACTCGCGGCTGCTGCGGGAGCGCATCGTGTGCGTGATGGGCCCGGTGGGTACCCACGGGCGGGGGGCTCGGCGGGCCCGGAGCCCCCCCTGGGGACCCCCTGACCCCTCCACCGACCCCTCCCCAGATCGATGACAGCCTGGCCAGCCTGGTGATCGCCCAGCTGCTGTTCCTGCAGTCCGAGAGCAACAAGAAACCCATCCACATGTACATCAACAGCCCCGGTGAGGCTGGGGGGGCTCGGGGGGGCTCGGGGGACAAGGAGGGGGGTTTGGGGAAGGGCTGTGGGGTCTGAAAAGGGAGATGGGACTGCCTGGGGAGGGTTGTGGACTCTAAAACCTCCTCTCCCTGGAGGTAGAGAGGGGGGGGTTGGGGGAATTGGGGAATTTGTGAGGGGTCAGGGATGGTTTGGGGGTGTCCACCCCAACCAGGGGCTTGCTGACCCCACCTCGGCTGCCTGGAGCTCGGGAGTCCCGGGGCTGTTGTGGATCTCGGGGACATCTGTGGGGTTTTAACGGCCTGGGGGAGGTTGGGGGGTCCCGTGGGGAGTTTGGGGCTGCCCCTGTGACCCTTCTCCAGGGGTCTCTCTGATCCCCCCTGGCCACGACGACCCCAAGGGCGCTGGGGGCCCGTTATGGCTCTCTGGGGTCTCTACAGGGATGTGTGAACGCCCAGGGCAGCTTTTGGGGTGTCCCTGACGGGGTTGTCACCCCACAGGGGGCTCGGTGACCTCGGGGCTGGCCATCTACGACACGATGCAGTACGTGCTGACCCCGGTGTGCACGTGGTGCGTGGGGCAGGCGGCCAGCATGGGCTCGCTGCTGCTGGCGGCCGGCGCGCCCGGCATGCGCCACGCGCTGCCCAACGCCCGCATCATGGTGCACCAGCCCTCGGGGGGGGCCCGGGTATGGCCCCCAACCCCCTCGGGCCCGGGGAGGGCTGGGCGGGGGGCTCGGGGGGCGGCGGCTGCTGCTGGAAGCTCTAGGAGCGTTTTGGGGGAGGGGGAAAGGGCTTGGGGGGACCCTGGAAGGGTTTGGGGGGGTCCTGAAAGGGTTTGGGGGCATCCTGAAAGGGCCTGGGGGGATCCTGAAAGGGCCTGGGGGTCCCTGAAAGGCGGGGAGCACAGAAATGGGGAGGGGTGCGTTCCCCACCTTGTGTGTGTGGGGAGGGGGCTCTGAAAGAGCGGGGGGCAGCACCTGGAAGGGATAAACGGGGACCCAGGGTGGGGGGAGATGTGCTGGGAACCCCCAGGGGATCCTGTGGGGGGTGGGTGGATTTGGGACTCGCCCAGGGCTGTGGGCAGGGCTGGAGATGCCCCAGACTCCCCCAGACCCTCCTGAGCCCCCCCTGAACCCCCCACTCAGGGCCAGGCCACCGACATCGCCATCCAGGCCGAGGAGATCCTGCAGCTGAAGCGCCAGATCAACGGGCTCTACGCCAAGCACACGGGGCAGCCGCTGCCCGTCATCGGTGAGGGACCCCCCGGAGCCCCCCAGGACCCCCCCCAGTTTCCCCGGAGGTGCCCCTGACCCCCCCTGTGCCTCCTCAGAAGCCGCCATGGAGCGGGACCGGTACCTGAGCCCGGTGGAGGCGCAGGAATTCGGGCTCCTGGACCAGGTGCTGGTGCATCCCCCGCCCCGCGGCGAGGACGAGCCCCGGCTGGTGCAGAAGGAGCCCCCCAACAGCCCCTCTGCGCCCCCCCAAGTCCCCCCCGTGTCCTGAGGCTGCTCCTGGCAGTGTTGGGGCACGTTTTTAGAGTGAGGGAGCTCTGGGAGCCGTGTTCCTGTGTGGAAATAAAGGGCTGTGGAACCCCAGTGAGTCCTGCAGGGATTTTGGGGGGTCGGTGCCGTGTGGGGGGTGGGAGAGGCGATGGAGGGGGAGCAGGGAGGAGCCGGGGGAAGAAGAGGGAGGGTTTGGGGGACACGGGAGCATTTGTGGGGTCTGTGAATTGTTTGGGGGGGCTCGGGGGAGGGGTCTGGTTTTGGGGGCGGGGTTTTTTTTGGGGGGGGGGCATTGACGAGATCGCGACCCCCCCGGCCGAGTCCTCCCGGCCGCCAGGGGGCGCCCGCCGCTGTCCCGTCATGCACCGCGCGCGCGGCCTGTGCCGCCCGGGGGTCTCCGCGGCCCTCGGGGGGTCCCGGGCGCTCTCGGGGGGTCCCGGGCCCGGTTCGGGGAGTCCCGCGCGGGGTTTGGGCCCCGAGGCCGAGGCGGACCCGGCGCTGCTCCGCTCCAGCAGCCCCGAGCTGGCCCGGCGGCTCCGCGGGCTCGCGCTGGTCCGCGGCGGCTTCGTGAGCGAGGGGGAGGCGGCGGAGCTGCTGCGGGAGGTGGAGCCGGGGCTGGGCCGGGGGCGGTACCAGAGCGACCACTGGGACCGGGTGAGGGGCTCGGGGGGGGGAATTCCTGAGGGGGGGGCGCGTTCTGAGGTCAGGGTTAACCCCGCGCTTTGTCCCCCCAGGCCATCAGCGGGTACCGGGAGACGGAGCGGGGCCTGCGGGGCCCGGCGGGGCGGGCGCTGCTGCTGCGGGTCACCCCCGCCTTCCCCGCCCGCCGCCCCCCCCGGCCCAGCGCCCACGTCCTGGACCTGCTGCCCGGGGGCCGAGTGGGGCCGCACGTGGACAGCGTCAAGGTGCGGGGCTGGGGGCTCCCGGGAGCTTCCCGCGGGGGTTTAGGGGGGTTTAGGGGGGTCCGAGGGTGGTTTTGAGGGGTCTCAGGTGTGTCTGTCCCCCCTTTGCCTCCCGCAGTTCTGCGGCTGCACCATCGCGGGGCTGTCGCTGCTGTCCCCCAGTGTCCTGCGGCTCCGGAGCCTCCGCGACCCCCAGGACTGGCTGGAGCTGCTGCTGGAGCCGGGCTCCCTCTACGTCCTGCGGTGGGTTTGGGGGGGCCCTGGGGACCACCCCCGTGGGGGTTCTGGGGACCCCTGAGGGGGGTTGAGAACCCCCTGACCCCCCGATCCCCTCCAGGGGTGCTGCCAGGTACGAGTTCACCCACGAGATCCTCCCGGACGAGGAATCGTTTTTCGGGGGGCTCCGGGTGCCGCGGGGGCGCCGGGTGGCCCTGATCTTCCGCAACGACCCCCCCGGTGAGAACCCCCGAACCCCCCCGGGACCCCTCGCCCAGCCCCTCCTGGGATGGTTCTGTAAGAGCCCCCCCCGAGGTCCTGAGCCCCCCAAATTCCCCTGAAGACCCCAAAGCGCACGGGGAGCCCCCAAACCCCACCTGGCGTGTCCAAAACCCACCAGGAACACCCTGAAATCCCCCCGAGGACCCCCTGAACATCCCCAGGGACCACCAAAGACCCCTCAAAGCCCCCCCTGACCGTCACCGTTTCCCCCTCACCCCAGAGATGCCTCCGGAGCCTCTCGGTGACCTCCCGGCGTTTATTGAGGACCCCCAGGACCCTCCGGCCCCCCAATAAACAGCGATTCCCCCCACACTCGGCTCCTGGGGGGCTCTTTTGGGGGCGCTTGGAGGAGGAGGAGCTTTTGGGGAACCCCCAAACCCCCCCGAGCCGACAGCCGGGGGGTGCTTTTGGGGGTGATGGGGGATGGATGACTGGAGGGACCCCCAACGCCCCCCCCCGCCAGACGGGGAGGAGTTTTGGGGGAGCTGTTTCGGGGGAGCTGTTTTGGGGGAGCTGTTTTGGAGTCACTTTGGGCAGCCGAGGGGGGGTCGGGGGGGATTTGGGTCGGGGGTCTCACCCCAGGCAGGCGCAGGCCCCCGCCGAGAGCTGCGGCAGCCGCTGCCAGCGCAGCCCCGAGTCCAGGAACGCCACGTCCTCGTAGCGGGTGGGGCGGCAGCAGGGGCCCCCCCCGGCCCCCCCCGGGCCCAGCACGGCCCCCAGCGCCAGCCCGTGCAGGGTGGGGGGCGCGGGGCAGCCCCCCCCGCAGTAACGGAACACCACGGTCTCGGGGGAGGGGTAGCCCAGCCCCAGAGCCCCCACCCCAACCGAGACACTGCGGAGCCCGCACGGGGGGGCGGCGGGGGGGGGCGCGGGGGGGGCGCGGCAGGGCCCGGGCAGGAGGAGGAGGAGGAGGAGGAGGAGGAAGGAGCAAGAGAGTCCCAGCCTCGCCATCCTGAGCCCCCAGCGAAAATCGCGCCCCGAGGGAATTTATGGGGTGCGGAGGGGGAGGGTCTTGGGGAGGGGGGAGGAGGGGGGGGGGGGTTAACCCTGAACTCCCCAAGGAGGGGGCACTGACCCCTCCCCTCCCCCCCCAGGGGAAATTTGGGGGAGGGGAATTTTAACTGGGGAGGGACGATTAGCGGGAACAGCATCACCCCAAACTTGGGGGGGGTGTGAGACCCCTGGGACCCCACCCAGGGGTTTGGGGAGGGCGTTTGGAAAGTGGAGACCCCCCCCCATTCCAACAAGGGGGGAGTGAGACCCCCAGAGCCCCCAGACTGTGGGGGTGTGACAGAGACCCCCACCAGAAAAGCAGCTGGGGGGGGTTGGGGGTCTCAATCCACTCCCCAGGAGCCCCCCACCCCCAAATAACTGTGGCCCCCCAAACAACTGCCCAACTCCCCAGGGCTGTGCTGGGGCAAAACCCCCTGGGGGAGGGAGGGAATTTGCCCCTACCCCAAATTTTGGGGAATTTTGCCCCAAAAGGAGGGGGTTCATAGGGGGATTAATATTGGGGGGGGCCCAGAGCGCTCCTGGGGGGGTGGAACATTCCAGCACTGTGGGGGGTGTGGGCCTGGCACGAAGTAGAGGAAAAAAAGCCTAAAAATAGCAAAGCATCCCAATTCTGACCCAAAAAAGAGGTTGGAGGGGGGGGGAGTCTCTTCCCTGCCCCACCCCTGAGACATTCCAGGGCCCCCCAAATTCCTGGGGAGGGGAGGGGAAGCGATGAGTTTGTTGAGGGGAATTTGGGGCAGGGGATGGGGGGCAGGAAGGGGCAGAGTGAGGGGAAAGCAGCGGGTCTGGAATGGTGGGCAGGGATTGGGAAAATGGGGAGGGGTCCCGTGGGATTTGGGGAGAATCCTTCTGGATTTTGGTGTCCCTGTCCTGGAAATGCCTCTAAAGGAACTTGGGGCGGCACTGGGGGATCCCTGTGGGTTTTGGGGGTGTGTCTGGGGCTCGGGGGTCCTGTGACTTGGGGGTCCCCTGGCCCGGGGGTTCCGTGGCTTGGGGGTCCTCTGGCTTGGGGGTCCCGTGCTTTGGGGGTCCTGTGGTTCAGGGGTTCTGTGGCTTGGGGGGGTCCCATGGCCCGGGGGGGGGTCCCCTGGCTTGGGGGTCCCATGGCTCGGGGGTTCTGTGACTTGGGGGTCCCGTGGCTCAGGAGTCCCCTGGCTTGGGTGTCCCGTGGCTCGGGGGTCCTGTGACTCAGGGGTCCCCTGGCTCATGGGTCCCCTGGCTTGGGAGGGGTCTGTCACTCGGGGGTCCCGTGGCTCAGGGGGGTCCCGTGGCTCGGGGGGCCCGTGGCTCAGGGGTCCCCTGGCTCAGGGGTCCCATGGCTCAGGGGTCCCCTGGCTCAGGGGTCCCATGGCTCAGGGGTCCCCTGGCTCAGGGGTCCCATGGCTCAGGGGTCCCCTGGCTCGGGGGGGTCTTGTAGCTTGGGGGTCCTGTGGGTCGGGGTTCCTGTGGCTCGGGGGTCCCATGGCTCAGGGGTCCCATGGCTCAGGGGTCCCCTGGCTCAGGGGTCCCATGGCTCGGGGGTCCCGTGGCTCAGGGGTCCCATGGCTCAGGGGTCCCCTGGCTCGGGGGTCCCGTGGCTCGGGGGTCCCGTGGCTCGGGGGTCCCTACTCCTTGAGGAAGAAGTGCATCTTGTCTGCGATGAGTTTGCGCTCGGGGTCCAGGCGCTTCAGCAGCTGCGCCAGGGCGTTGACGGTGGCGTCGCTGCTCAGCCCCGTGCGCTTGGTCTGGAACTTCTTGAGCAGGTCCTTGGTGGTCATGGGCTTTCGGGACAGGTACCGGCGCACGGCCTCCTCCGTCAGCTGCACCTCCCTGCGGGGCCGGGCGTCAGCGGGGCCGCGGCTCCGCGGGGTCCCGCAGCCCCCCGAGCCCCCAGACTCACCCGCTGCTCGGGGTCGACTTCCCGGAGTGGGGCTGGGGCGTGGATTTGCCCGAGGGGGGCCCCAGCTCCGCCTTCAGCCGCTTCTGGGGAGGGGGCTCCGACCCCCCCGGGGTCGGCCGGCGGCCTGGGGGAGATCAGGAGGTCAGGGGGCTTTGGGGGGTCCTCAGGAGGGAGCTGGGAATTGTCCCCGCTCCACAATGTCCCTGTGACCCCTCCTCAATTGTCCCCTACCCCCTCAAGAATTCACCCCGAGACCCCTCAATCCCCCCCCAGATTCCCCAACCCCCC